TTAGGGTGTATCTGCCTAGCGGGTGAACCTCCATAACGTGGGCTGTGATTTTAGTTACAGTAGCGGGTGGGGAACCTGAGCTAGGGGGTATTTAAACGTGTCCGTGTTTGTGAAAATTCCAGGCACACAGACCAGCCAGAGGCTACAGAAATCGAGTCGGTCTGTGCCATGATTCATAGGTGTTATGAGTTTGTGGTGTCTAATACTACATTAAGCTCCAAAACACATCCTCACATGAACACAATATCATTGGTTAATCTCATAAAACATGGTTTGAGTTGTCAATTATTACAAGGGTGGGTATTTGCCTATTTAAGGCCAAGGTTTCCCAACTGCTAATGCATGTGCTCAGTGGTTATTATAAGGGTGGGTATGTGCTTATTTTAGGCCAAGGTTTCCCAACTGGTGATGCATGTGCTCAATGAAAAAAAAAAAAAAAATAATAATAATTGAATAAGCAATAAAGTGTCATAACTTTACGGGTAAATGGGTATCATTCTTCAAAAGGTGGGTTTTGTTGTAGGGCAGGTACTGTTAAAATAGGGTAGATTCAAGATGTACGGGTTTATAATGTTTGTTTTATGACATAAGTCAAAGGGTGGTTTGTAATAGTATTTATTAATTAATGACTTTTTGTCATAAAAAAGCATAATGAGCTTAATGCTTTAGACGCACCACTAGATGTCAGTAAAGCATAATGAGCTTAATGCTTTAGAGGCACCACTAGGGGTCAGTGTGCTAACTCATGTGCTTCTGGCAGTGACATCACAGGCCAGCCTACTTACTGGATAAAACCAAATAGTAGAAGGATTTTCAGCCTCCTTTTTTCCCTTGCTTGCATTGATTGAACATGTAGCTGACTGTATAGCTCCAGCCAAACAGGCTGGAGCCGTGTAAGTAATCTATTATAACAGCTAGCAACTGTTATAGCCTTTTGTAAGTAATATGTTGTAGTTTTGTATTGTGTAATTATTGTGGTAAATTGACATTCTGCTAGCATTTGTTTAATTGTTATTATAATTATATTAAATATACATTTAATACTACAATGTTTTGTGTATTTCCTATTATATATTCGACCATAATACCGAACTCAAAAAAATATTAATGTTGTTATTTGTTGCTTAATTATTATATATTAATTATTAAATTAATATTCATATTTAAGTCACGACTTTAACAATGGTTATATATAAAAAACTAAAATTATGGATGTATAGGATAGGTTTTTTCCAAGATTAAGATTCATCTAGTTTGCCTCATTGATTATAGCAAAATGATGAAATTGTATTTTTAATAGAGATCAGATAATTTCTTTTGAGGCAATTCTTAACTACTGTATTATATTTGTATTGGTATATTGAAAGCATTTTGCAGACCCAAAAGAGAATAAATAATATAATAATTATAAAAGGAACCATACTATGGGAAGAGGTCACCCTATTAAATTGCTAAGGGGTTAAACTCCTTTTTGATAAGCATATAAAATTTAGTTTTTGTGGTTAGAATTTTTGATACTCAATTTGAACTCAATTGAAGTATTACAACCATATCCTTGCAAGTGTAGGAAACAGCTGCAATATGATTTTAATATTTGAAATATATTACTGTTTTCAATGTAGTCTGACAATGGAAAAGTACCTAACCGCATGTCTGCATTACACCTATGACCCAGACTGTCAGTATTGCAAACCCTATATGAAGACTCTGCTTTCACTGTTTATGTATACACCCCTAGACAACCATGCTATACATATACAATAAATCTTCAAAAGCTTATTAATATTATATCTGTGTGGTACACAAAGAGGGGGTGTGAGTTAGGTAATCTCGATCTGCATATGGAATATGCTTCCTCCTTGTTCACTTTTGGTCAAACTGTTGGTCTGTGACTGGCCCTCTTTGACCCCAACTGAATTTCTTGGGAAGATTCATGAGAAAGATACAGCAGGTTGTTTTGATATAAAGAAAGAGGGAAAAGTATGTTTTATCGGTCACAAAAGGATTGTGATCTTAAGCAGGCGAGACAAAGACATTTGGGAGGTGATAGGAGATTGAATCAGAAAAGTTTTGGAGGCAGAGGTAGAGGATTTGATCAAAGGGTCTAACTTTTGTAGAGGTGGCAACTTCAGCAGTGTTTTAATTATGGATAGCAGGGATTCACCCCAAGGTGCTCGTGGTGAACCCGGTTCTCCCGGTCAAGCTGGCCCCACTGGTATTGCTGGTGTCCCTGGCTTCCCTGGTGCCAGTGGTGCTCCTGGACCTCAGGGAACCAGAGGTTCCCCTGGACCTAAGGCTAACAATGGTGAACCTGGTGCTCAAGGAAACAAAGGAGAACCCGGTGCTAAGGGAGAACCTGGCCCAGCTGGCGTTCAAGGACCCACCCTGGCAGATTCCTCAATACCAACCACAGCTTCCAACCTATATCCAACAACCTCAGCCTAATACACAGATGGTTCATGTTTTTAATACTTTATATATAGTTTTGACTGAAAAAACAGTATTAATGCTGGCTCTTAGAGGATGTACAAGCTGAAGTTGGGACCTAGACATTGTTTGCATAGGCTGCGCAATGTGAAATAACTAAAATAAAATAGGATAATAATAAGTATGCTTAGTCAATTTGTAACGTGGTATCATAGAGGCATCTGCAATAAAATAAGTAGGTTTCCAAGACCTGACAAGTGTGTGCAACCTTATATAACATATGTCTATAGTTTGCTGCCCCTTCCTTGTCAGAGGCCACTTGCGACCTTAACACAGCAAGACAACTCTTCTGAAACCTGTATTAAACAAAGCACTTTAGAACAATAGTAATTAATTTTGTTTCTCCTATTTCATTCCTAGTTGTTCTGGAAAAAAATATTGTTTAAGTGGGATAACTGTATGGAGGTTCCACCATGTATTAGAACATGATCACGCACATACAGAACTGGTAGCTTTTTGGACATCGAGATCTATAAAAGGTTTAGGTTTCCAAAGATGTTATCAGGGTGCACAAAACTGACAGACTTCAGCATTTCAATTTTATTAAAGTAATTATTTGAGATTATCAAATCAAGGTTAAAGTTTAAGAACAGCATTTTATTGGGAATTATACCAATATGTATATGTTAGTGTTTAGTACTCAACAAGCATTTATATAGAATGAGTGCTTCTCTCATCCATACAAAGGCATTCTAAAGGGAAATTGTGTATTAAAATTTTATAAAGGACAAATTCAATGAATTATAAGCAAAACTGAGAGACGTACATGTTACACTAGTTAAGAGTTTAACTTTAGTCTCCTATTTGAGTTTAGCCTAAATAATTAATTTATTGATGTCGTACTGATCCTTGTGTTTGTATGATTATAGAGACCGTACTGGAGTATTTGTGTTGCCTGATATTTGGGACTACACACCAATCTCTCTGGCTGACCTACCTGACTACCTACCTTTTTTACAATTAAATCTGTTTGGTCAAAATCCATGCTGGCCGAAGAAACTGAGATGCTTACTTATGAGGACATAGACTAACTTGGAAAGTCCTGAAGGTGCAGTGCTGGCTAATGCCGCTATTTCTGTATTACCCTTTCAACAATTGGGGTGTTGCACAGAGTATTGTGGTGAACATCCAGCAAACAGAAGAATTAAGAACTATGTGGAAGCTGACATTGTCTTGTTGTCAGCCATATTGCTACCCTTAGCTATGTTATGGTGTCTAAGATTATGGAACAAAGTTTATGGTGTCTAAGATTCTTTATACTCCTTGAAAGACTTATAATATTTTTCTGGACTATGCTGGACTATTGAACTATTTTGTTATTTTTATTTTTGTAGAGTTAGCCAGAGAGAGAGGAAGTGTTTGCTTACTCAGGCATGGATGTACTATGTGTGTCATTGATGTATGTTAAGTGTACCAAGGATGGATTCCCATGTATTAAGTGTGGATATGACTGGCCCATCGAAATAGGGATGTGATTAGGAGACATAGGACGCAAGGTCATGATTGGGATTATTGTTAGAATTGCAAACTGATTAAAAATTATCTCATGATTTAATATGTAAGTGGGCCTTTTCAAACTAATCAAGAAGTGTTTCCCAATCCCGATACCCAAGCTATTTACTTACAAGTGCGGGTTTTTATAAGTAACTAATGCTGTCAACGTGAGGGGATGACATGTCTACACAGTCATGGCCCTCACAAGAGTTTTCCCAGATTTGCTTTTTTCCTCAAATATGAGTTTTTGCCACAGGGTTTTTTGACCTGGCCCCAGATCACTGTGTGGACTGGTAATCCAAGACCCTAGTCCAAAGAGGGGGATAGATATTATTCCCATTTTGACTTTATGTGTTTACGTTGTGAATTATAATAATAATATTCCCGTTGTTGGGAATAATACACTTTGCCTGTATTGACCCAAGGCTCAAGTTACAGATAACATGATGTGCAGTCTGTTTAAAATTGGTTAACATGTCAGCTGTTTGAAATATTTAACTTGTACACTTAAAAGATGTATTCAACAGATAATTGAAAAAGCTGTAAATTGACAGCTCGAACTCCTTTTAAAGGGAAAACCTACGGCACAGAGCAAATGGGGGAAATCGAGGTGAGGAAATAATGAAAGTCCCGCAGACGTGATTAGTTTTCGTTTCTCTGCCGCAGGCCTCCCATGGATATTTTCCGTAAGGTAGATCATGATATGATCTAAGAGGGGAATTGTAGATACAAATATCCATTTTGCTATCTATCCTAGCTGTTCATATAAGGGTTAATGTGAACCAAGAATACATTTGGAATTGTATCTTCGATTCTGGGAAGAATTTGTTTAATATCATTTACGAGGGGGGGCGTGGCCTGGACGAGCATGGTGCAGGACGCAAAGTGAACGAGCTCCGCACCCCTGGCCGACTAATCAGCAAAAAATAGCGACAAAACGGCAGATAATGTTCCGGAATAAAAAGCTCCTAGCTCTAGAGTCAGCGGGTGTCAGCTCCCCTCGCCGATGCACGGGACCGATGGATGATTTTATAGCTACGCCATCGGATCTAAGGGGACAGCAGCATGCATCCAAGATGGCGCCCGCCTCTCCGGGCTCGGAGAGTGCGGGGGAATCCCTGGCGGAGGACACCCAGGCGAGTGACCTAGCTCGGATCCGAGCCGAACTAACCCAAATCTCCACCAACATGCTGTCCAAGTCGGACACGGGCTCCCTAGTACAAGAACTCCGGGCGGCACTGCGTGAAGAGCTTGCAGGCCTCCGCTCTGATCTAACAGCGCTAGAGCAACGAGTGGATGAAATGGAGTCGACAGCTCGCGGATGTGAAGAGCAGCACAGGGCGACGGAGGTGGCTGTTACCAGACAAGGGAACATGCTCCTCACGATGCGCAGACAAGTGGAGGATCTGGAGAATAGGAGCAGGCGCAATAACATAAGAGTCCGCAGCCTCCCTGAGTCAGGTACAGAATCGCTTCACGCCACGCTGACCGACCTATTCAGGCAGCTCCTGGGGGTACAAGCCCCTGACACGATACACTTCGACCGAGCGCATAGAGCTCTTGGCCCGGCGAGACAAGATGGCAGCCCCAGGGATGTGATCTGCTGCATCTCCACATGTGGCCTGCGAGATAAAATAATGGCAGCCGCAAGGGAGCTCCCAGCATCAGGTACCGCGAGGCAGAAGTCTCACTATACCAAGACCTATCCAGCCTAACGCTAGACGCCAGAAGAGCCTTGCGCCCGGTGACAAGTGCCCTTCGAGACAAAAGGATCCCGTATCGCTGGGGTTTTCCCTTTAGCTTACAGGCGAGGCACGGTAACACCTGGCTGACGGCCCGCTGGCCGGAGGACGTACCGAGATTTCAGAGAACACTTGGCCTACCACAGATCAGAATCCGAAACTGGATCCTCGACGAAGCAATCTCTACACGGAGAAACCCGCTAGCCCCTATAGGACCGCCTGAAGCTGCACCTAATCGTGGCGATCCACCGCGCCGGAGAGGGGGCCCTGAGGGGCCAGAGGAGTAGTCCAGCCAGAGCCTGAACAGGTCAGTGGGGGCCCGGTGGGCTCTAAACGCACCCCTGGGGACTTGTGAGCCCACACACACATGAGGCCCCGCGGAGATGGAGGGGATATAACCAGGACACATGGGGAGGGGGGAGAGGGACCAACCGGAGGAAAAGAGAATGGGAAGAAGGGGAAAAGAGGGGAAAGGGGGAGGGGAAAAAGAAAAGAAGGGGGGAAAAAAAGGGGAAAAAAAGAGAAAAAGAAAAAGAGGGGGAAAAAGAGGGGAGGGAAGGGAAATCTGTGGATTCCTCTGAGAGAGACTTGACCCACGGCGTGAGTCGCACCCGACTGTCATAATGGGGCTCGCATAAGCCGGTGAGACCTGGAGGGTCACGCATGGGCACTTGGGTGGGGGGCACTGGGAGGGAAGCCATTTTGATGAGCAGGGGCAGAGAAGTGTGGCCCGCAATGGAGTCCCCCCGCAACCCGGAAACCCTACAAGGTGGCGTAAGAGCAAGCTATACGGGAATACATAGAGTCCCCAACTCGTAGGGGGGCAGCATTACACCATTCCCCGAGACACTGGACATTTCTACTGACTTCTCCGCCTAGACTGAGTCTGCGAATCTCGCACCGTCACAACTGGGGGTGGTAAATATGCAGCTAGGGGAGGTGGTGACTTTGGTCTGAGAACGATGTCTGCTGTTGGGGGTGGTGGGGGGGCTGTTTTTTTTTGGGTTTTTTTTTTCGAAGCTAGGTGCACACCCCACCCAAGGGGCCTGAGGCCACGTGCAAGGAGGCCTTCCCTCACTCTATCGCGAGGGGAGGGATAGGGCTACGTACTGTAAACAAAGGTACACAAACAGACTCTTGACTGGGATTGAGGAGGGAGACTAAGCAGGACCCTAAACCACCACCCCATGCGGACGCCTGACAGCGTTACCCCAGGGCCTCCCCCACGTAGGCACTACGGCAGACCTGACAGACTCTCCGTGCCACCCGCTCCAGCTTCTGTGAGTGGGGATGAAGTAGACACAGATGACTAGACCCGCCTGGGACATGGCGAAAGATAGGACGAACCCCCCTCACCCATGCCCTGACACGCAGCTACATCCCCGGGGACCTGGGACTAGATGACCGGGGCCGGAGCCCCCCCCCCCACACACACTGACAGGCGTACGGCTGATGTTAACCTAATTGACCATATGAGATCAACCGGTGACCTTATGCCTCCCGCAACACCTGTATGCCTCGGCCAGGGGGCAGGGGGGACACGGTTTAGATACACTACAAGTCGATAAACTAACTCATCCCTGTAGACAGGGATCCATATTTCCTGTAGTTAAGAGTTACCATAGTTCACTCACCTCTACTAAATCACTGTGAACACACCAGGGGAATACGCCCCAACATAAACCGCAGGTGACGGCTGAGTCCTGCGCTAGTGCTCCAAGGGACCTGCGCCCTTCAGACGGGCACCCTCCTAAAACTGGTGGGGAGGTCTTGGACACCCACTCTCCATGGACCCAAAGGCCACCACCACCACAGGTGCTGAGTCGCTGCGGCCCCGCACCGGGCTTGACACATTCTTCTCTTCCTGCCCCTGCCCTTTTCTCCCCTCCCTTCCCTCTTTCCCACCCCTTGTTTCATGAGCCATGGGGATGGGATTCACGCCTGCGCCCCTCCACGTCTGGTCGATTAATGTCCGAGGACTGAATGTGCCAGAGCGAAGATCCCATCTGTTGCGCTCCCTCTGGGCCGAACGGGTTTCCATTGCACTCCTGCAGGAGACCCACTTTCGAGGCGACGCTAGCCCACAGCTGAAAGATGCACGATACCCGCTGGGGTTCTTTGCAAATCACCAGATGGCCAAAAAGGCGGGAGTGGCGATCCTGTTCGCAAGCACGATCCCGTTTGAGTGCGCGGCTACTAAGGCGGACACTATGGGACGCTATCTGTTTGTAAAAGGCACAATAGCTGGCTGCTCCTACACCTTCGCTAGCATTTATGCGCCCAACACCCGGCAATCTAAATTCATTAGAACGACGCTGAATAAACTTGAGGCATTCCGGGAGGGTTTCCTAGTGGTGGCGGGAGACCTGAATGTTGCCCTTGAACCAAGGACTGACACCTCTAGGGGGACTAGCTCCTTCCTGTCTCGAGGCCTACGAGTCATACGAGAGGCGCTCCGAGGCTCCGGCCTCATGGATGGCTGGAGGGTGCTTCACCCCGAGGATAAAGACTTCACTTTCTACTCCACGTTACATAAGTCTTACAGCAGGCTAGATTATATATTTGTGGCCCAGGAATTCCTACCTATGTTACTCTCAGCAGAAATACGACCCATGGGATGGTCTGACCACTCACCAGTTTCAGCCACACTTAGATCCCCCCTATACCGCCCAAGAGAAAGGCAATGGCAGATGAATGAATCGATACTCAATGACGCACTAGTAACGATGGAACTCCGATCTACGCTCACCACATTCTTTGAGGAGAATGAATCCTCGGAGATACCAGCCCTGACGATATGGGAGACGCACAAATGCGTTATCCGAGGGCAGCTGATTAAGATTTGCACCCACCGGCAGAAGGCACAGCGACAACGTGTGACTGAACTGACCGCACAGATATCGGCGCTGGAAAACATCCACAAGTCTACCCAATCGGATAACGACTACAAGGCCCTACTGGAAGCTAGACAAGCACTTAGAGACATCCTGCACCGCAAACTACAGTACACTATACGTAAATCACATCGGTTTTTCTATGAATACTCGGGCAAATGTGGCCGCCTTCTGGCCCGTACGCTCCAAAGACAACGCCGACTGTGTCACATCACAAAAATTAAAGACAGGGCCCAAGTAGCCACGCAACTCCCTGACAAGATAACTGATGCATTTCACGGCTTCTGCAGCGACCTATATAACCTATCCCCAGGTGGCAGCGCAGACGACTGCCCCCACAAGGACGTACGAATTGTGGACTACTTGCAACAACATGTCACGAGAACCCTAAGCCAAGATGTGGCTGCAGAACTGGAAGCCCCAATCGCACTAGAAGAACTTCAGACGGCGCTGAAGGGTTCCAAGCCCAATAAGGCTCCGGGCCCGGACGGATTGCCGGCCCGATACATCAAAGAATTTGGTGATGTGCTCCTACCTAAATTACTTACAGGATTCAACTCCCTACTAGATGGGGGACACTCCCGAGAGACGCCCTTTCGGCAACGATAGCAGTCATCCCTAAAGAAGGCAAGGATCCAACCAACTGTGCAAGCTACCGGCCAATTTCACTCCTGAACATGGACCTGAAACTCTTCACGAAAGTCCTAGCGTCACGGATAGGAAGAGTTCTCCCGGACTTAGTCCATCCCGACCAGGTAGGGTTCATCCCTGGCCGGGAAGCACGAAATAATACCATACGGGCCATGAACGTCATCCATGCGACAAGACGCTCTGCACAGAAAGTCCTTCTCCTTTCCACCGATGCGGAGAAGGCCTTCGATCGAGTGGACTGGCGTTTCATGCTGGCTACACTTAGGGCCATGGGCTTCGGGCCGCATTTAATGGCGTGGATGTCTGAACGGACGCCTTCGGGGTTAGATAGATTCCGATATTTCAAGACTAAAACCTACTATCAGTCCCACTACGGAAAGCACCTTTTCCACAGGCCCCTGACAGGATTCGAACAACTCTGCACGACACGCAAACACCTGTGCAGAGGAATCTCGTACCTCTATACAATGCTTTTGTCCTCACTGCAACCTACACCCCTTAAACACACTACGCACTGGGAAGAAGCCACGGGAGTCGCATTGACGGACCCCCAGTGGACGAAAATCCATATCTTGACACACCAAAGTTCGTTGTGCACCAAACAACAATAAGTCAACTTCAAGCTGTTGACCAACTGGTACCGGACCCCTGAGAGAATACACAGGATGATACCAGATGCCCCGGCAAGCTGCTGGCGCTGCGACAAAGAGGTGGGCACAGACCTGCATATCTGGTGGTCCTGCAGAAGAATAACCCCATACTGGCATCAAATACACTCACAGATCAAAAACATCACAGGCACGGACACCCCGCTCCTCCCTCTTCAGATGCTCCTCCATCACACCTCGCTACCCCTATCGAAATACAAAAAGTCGCTGACTAAGCATTTACTGAACGAAGCCAAATTACTAATCCCGAGGAAGTGGCGAACCACACAGATACCCAGCCTCCAGGAATGGATGGAACAGGTCGAAGAAATCCATGGCATGGAACAGCTGACAGCCTCCCTGCGTGGAACCACAGAGCGATACCAGCAAATCTGGACACCTTGGCTGCTATTCATATCCGGGAGACAGACATAAGCACCAAAGCACACCGGAGAGTGGGACTGGTGGAGGCAAGGGATACCTGGACCACAAGGGCACCTCTTTAGGCCGTGGACGTGCTCGGCCGGACAGACTGTAGGGGCGGAGGGGGATGCCGTGACACCCGTAACACAGGCACTAAAACGGCCCTAACGCTCCCCCTCTCTTTCTCTCCTCTCCAACTCCTGCTCCTCTCTCTCTCCCGCTCCCTTTATCTTTCCCTCTTCCGAAAGATGTGTAGATACAGGCCCGGGTGGGGCCGCACCCACACCCCCTGATGTAATTTTAAAACCTGAACAGTCAAACTAGCGCGCGAATCAGACGCACGAGCCCCTGAGAACAC